TTAACCCAATTCAAGTTTTGTGCAAAAACGCATGATCGCTCTGGCTCGCCTGGTGCGTTTCAGCCTAGGTTTGAAAATGACCCAGCTGTTCCATTAGTAATTTCGCGCCAAAAATTTAAGTGCCCGTGCACGAGAACCACGCAAACCTAGAGGCTGAATTTGACAATTTTAAGTCGTAAGTGGATTGGGAACATTCCCTGAAAATTTCAGCTTCCTATCTTTACTTATTCACGAGTTAGCCATTTTCTCGCCGAAAAATCTCACGGGGCCGTACGCGGGAACCACGCGTACCTGGAGGCTGAAATTGAAATCTTTGAGTTATATTTGGACGGGCAACATAACCTCATAATTTCAGCTTCCTATCTTTTCGCGTTCCCGAGTTATCATTTTCCCGCCAATACTTTCCCCCTCTCGTACGCGGGGCCCAGACGTGCGTAAGGGATGGTACTGCGGTTCTGGGGTGGTACTTGGCCGGGGTACCCATTAGCAAAATCTCGTCGCTGGAACTTGCTTGGTTGCCAAGTTGAAATACCCGGACAGACGAACACACACACACACACACACAAACATACACACACATGCATACACACACATACATACACAGACGGGGTCGTCTCAATATGCGTTTTTGCAATTTGCATATAGGTAAAAACGCATAAAAACGTGGGCGCACATGCACACCGTGAACCGTCACAATGCAGATTTTCAAGCGTTTTTGCATATATGCAAATACAAAAATGCATATTGTGACGACCCCGATGTGTGTGTATATATTTGTGTGTATGTGTGTGTCTGTGTTTGACCTGGTATTTCAACTCGGCAACGAAGCAGACTCCGGCGCTGAAATTTGCCAATCGGTTTCCCAACCAGGTGCTACCCCAGGGCTGCGGCACCTACTTTTACGCACGTGTAGGCCCCGCGTACGATCAAATAAAAGTTTTGGCGAGAAAATCATTAACTCGAGAACTAGAAAAGTTGAGATGCTGAAATTTTAAGGGGATGTCCCTCGTCCAGTGCACCTTAAAGACTTCAAATCCAGCTCTCTAGTACTCGTACCACTCATGTACGAAGGCGTGAAAGCTCTCAACATGAAAACCGCTAACTCGAGAACCAGGAAAGCTGGGACGCTGAAAATTCTATTTGAGATGTTTTCAGCCGGTATTCCGAAAGCGCTTTGCTTTCTCTGCTGTTCCTATTTCGCGACGTCGCTTGCCGGCACCGATTGGCACGTTGCCAGAGCACCGGAGCTGTACTTTGCGTTTGGCGGCTGGATCGCATGGTTGGAGCGTGCAGCTGGGGAAAATGGATTGGACTGGTTGGCAGTGCTGGTTTATAAGTGTCCAGACACAGCTCAGGAGGTACGGATTGAGAACAGGATAGAGGAAGAGAATGAGGGTGCTTTTCAATAGTTCGAGACAATAAATAATGACAATTGTTGGTGGAGTGGTGGATGATGGGTGCGGAGACGCCACTCTAGAGGTTGGATTTGGCGGCAGGATAGAGGAGAAGAACAAAGAGGCAAGAACTGGAGATAGCAGTAAAAAGGAGGAGGCAGCACAACGTTACAAAGAAAACTGAATTAAAAAGAGCCTGAACATATGAAAAAAGCAAAGAAAAAAAACGAAAGGAATCGAACCTATTGAAAAAAAGCTAGAGAAGACAAAAGCAAATAAAAACTGAGGAAGCAAAAGCAAAAAACAAATAAAAAACTTGGCGGAAGGAAAAAACTTATGAGTGGAAATTCTCTTGAAAAGCCTGCCTACAGTGGTGGGCTTCCCTATTTATGAAGCTAATGCTTAAGTAAAGTGAAAGCTCTCAGCCTTAGCTGCGCGGTTTTGTCTTAATTGCTCCCAGCTTTACCCAAGCATTAACTTCATAAATGAGGAAGTCTCGTACTGATGAAGTTTTATTATAGGACAATCTGCACTGGCAAAGATTCAGTTTTTTGTGCGTTTTTGCATATATGCAAATGCGAAACGTATATTGCAAGGACCCCC